ATATATGATAAGATTGTTGGATATTCACTTAGATTATTCCAGTGAACATATTATCATTACAAAATTTAAAATATTTAGATAATATGAGTCCCCAAAAGTCATTCAACAAATACAAAGTCTCACATTGTTTTTAATTCAAAGTTTTAAAATTATATACATATATAAAATTATTTTTTAATATATTTCTAATAAGTAGATTCGTGATTTTACTTCTAAAATTTTAATAAATGTACTTAAGTAAAAATGTCCCAATTAACATATATTTTGCTTTAAAAATAATTTGTTTTTTCTTACATTTAGCCATGAAACAAAATAATAATAATAAAAATTAAATATGTTTGTAGTTGTGTGAAATTAAAACTTATTAATGTCTAAAACTTTGTTAATTTTTTTTAACTCAATTAGGTTAGAAAGATTATTTTTATTTATTTTTTAAATTTAAAACCAAATTACATCAAAGTTTGAAATATAAACCATTATAAGATTAAAACTTATTTAAATTATGATAATATAATAATACTAATAATAATAATAATTATTATTATGAATTTATTATTCTATTATTATTATAATACATCAGTATTTTTTAAATAAAATAAATCAAATTTAACTCCATATGGGATAGAATCATGAACCCATATGATAAGTTTGTCATTAAATAATTATTATGTTTTTTCAAAACACTTTTTATGTGTTTGTTAAAATTTTAAAATAATAAAATAAAAAATGGAAATTTTAGTTAGAATAAAAAGCTATTTAAAACTAATTCTATTAAAATAAGGTATTTTTTATTTTTTAAAACAACCTAAAAGATAATCACTAGATTATTTTATACTTAAACATCTGTTTAATCCCAAACAAACGGATCTATATCTATCAAATCTTATTTTTTGTATATATCATTGGTAGTTGTACCTACCAGTTACGAACATTTGATTAAAAAAAACCAATCTATGAACCGTCAGAGACTAGTGAAAAAAAAAACACACCTCTCCTTTAGACTTCTTAGATAAACATCAAAGAGAAAGATCTTGGTTTAAATAAAAAAAAAAAAGAAACATGTAAATACCTAATTCCAAAGACACTAAAACAACAAAAAAACATAAAAGGAAAAATAAACATAATTGTGCAAACATTTTGGATTTGTTAAATTTCTATGGTGCTATGAAGTTTTTGAAAAAAGAGAGTTAAAATGATGTTTTTATTATTATTTTTGTTAAAATTAACAAATTGATCCATTTTGAAGAAATTTAAAACTCTAATGATATACGCGAATAAACAAACTTAACTAATAAACTTTGCTGGTAATAATGGTGAAATAAAATAAAGAATTAAGTTTTTTTATTAAGATATTTAAAATTAATTTTTAACATTTTTAATGAGTTTTTATATGATTTTTAATTTTTAATATTGTAAGAAAATCACTTTTCTTCACAGAAGTTTTCCGAAGCTCAAAACTGCATTTTCCAGCAGCTATCCAAACAGGCTCCTCGTTGACAGAGATAGCAACTCCGACTCTCTCGAGAGTGTCTGGTCGGAACAGAGAATGCGATTCGTAACATCACAATTCCTTCACATTTTCTATTTTACTTTCTTCACTTTCATTACCTCTTCACTTTCACAATACAATCAGGTTCACTTCTATATCTTACTTTTCTTTTTTCATATTTTCATTTTTCGGTTTCTCTTTTTGCGTTGACAGAAGAGTTCGAACTTCGATTTTCAAGTGTTTCAACTATCTATAATCAGAAATTGAGCTTAGATTCTCATTTCCACTAGTTTCTTTGCTGAATTCGAGTTTTTCTTTTTCGAATGATTCAGTTTTGTGATGCTGGAACTGGATCGTCCAAGTTGTTGGTCAAAGGAGGCACGGTAGTGAACGCTCATCACCAACAGATTGCTGATGTTTACGTGGAAGATGGTGTAATTGTTGCAGTTAATCCTAACATCAGGGTATTTGATGAAACTCCCTTGGAGTAGCACTTCTTAATTTGCTGTTTTCTAATGATTGATTCGGTTCCATTCCCAGGTTGGAGACGACGTCACTGTCATAGATGCCTTCGGCAAATATGTCATGCCAGGTTTCAACCTATACAACTATAATTCATCTCCTGTTACTGTTAGATCAAGGACATGTTTGGATGCAAGCTAACACGTTTTCCAAAGTTTGTCTACTGAAAATATAATATTCTCTTCTAACAGAGAAGCTCTCAAAACTTGTTCTAGCTTATATCCAAACAGAATCAAAATTAGAATGCATGGACAGTGTAAATCTTTTTTTGTCCTTTATTCTTAACTCCAAATTCTAAGTCATTAGAGTCCATCTTAATTGTTTTATTTATTGGACCTCTGGAATGGTCTTTTGTTGAGTAGTTATTGAATCACCATACATGTCTAGAGTTGTAAAGCTCAATTGTAGGAGGAATTGCATTAATCAGTGATATGATAATATTAATATACATGAGTTGTTGATGACAACCAATTGCCATGTATGATAAGTTTGATGTTTTTTTAGTATAGAAGTAATTGGTGAGATGATTTATGAATTGGTTGACAGTGTAAAAGGTACATGAAAATTTATGATAGTCTCTATGAATGCTCCTTTTGTTAATTGATCAGGGGGCATTGATCCTCATACCCATCTAGAAATCGATGATGGTTTTACTACAGCGGTTGACGACTTCTTCAGTGGTCAGGCTGCAGCATTGGCTGGTGGGACAACAATGCACATTGACTTCGTAATACCACTGAATGGGAGTTTGACAGCTGGTTTTGAGGACTATGAAAAAAAGGCAAAGAAGTCTTGCATGGATTATGGTTTTCATATGGTTATTACCAAATGGGACGAAACTGTTTCGAGAGAAATGGAGCTCATGGTCAAGGAAAAAGGTCGTGATTTATTATTCCTTGCTTCGTTATAATAATTTGGTTGATTAGGTGGTAGTAATAGTAACCATTTGGGTGAGGGATGAAGAATTTATTCCCGGAAGTATGAATTTGTTTTATAATTGCAGGTATAAACTCTTTCAAGTTTTTCATGGCATACAAAGGAATTGTTATGGTCAATGATGAGCTTCTTCTGGAAGGATTTAAAAAATGCAAGTCTCTTGGTGCCTTAGCCATGGTCCACGCGGAAAATGGAGATGCTGTGTATGAAGGGCAAGAGAAAATGATAGAGCTTGGAATAACTGGTCCGGAAGGGCATGCTCTTTCAAGGCCTTCAGTGGTAAATTCTAAGATTTGTTTTTTCATGATGAATAATGAATTTACTGTGTAATGGAATGCTAATATTGGCATGCCCTGATTCATTATCTTCTTCATTGTCCAACCAAACTATAATGTACAATTTTCATGCTGGTGTCCAAATTTGGCATACTTATGATAACCACTGTAGTTTGACATTTGTTGTTTTCCGTTCTCATCTGTTTTCATCAACATTTAGTTGGTAGTTAATTATATTGATTACCTGTTGTTTTTTTTCCCATATTTCAATATTGATCATACAGAACATTCCCCTATTGGGACTTTATATAGGTGGAAGGAGAGGCAACCGGGTCGTGCCATTCGTTTAGCAGATTTGTGAAACACTTCCTCTATATGTAGTTCATTGTAATGAGCATTGATGCAATGGAAGAAATTGCAAAAGCCCGGAAATCAGGTTCTTCAATCCTTTTATTGCTAGTCTCAATTTTTATTCATGTATTAGGAGAGTAGTAGATTATTATTTTGGGGAGAAATGCAAAAAGAAAATATATTTAACTTGAACTGATAGCTTCGATAAATTGGCTAACTTGATAACCATTTATAACTAGTTTAGTTTTTTCTAAGTATCTTCTGTAGTCATTAAACGAGCTTCCTAAGTAAAATTCCATTTCTGATATAGAGAGACTGGATTAGGTCTTCCTTGCCCTTTTACCCCTAATTTCTTTGTTTCTATTTTCTGATTTTGGAGGGAAGTACTTATCCTCCCTAGGGTGAACTTTCTGGTCTCTTCGTTCAATTCTGAAAAAAAAAAAGAGTTTTCTGATGAATGGTCACGATGAAGATGAACAAAAGGATCTTTCTATGTCTCTGGATGACATCTCAAGTTTTTCTGTTCCCCGATAACATAGTTTTATGCAATAGTAAGATCAACTGTTTGTTATTGTGCTGAAGGACAAAAGGTAATCGGAGAACCTATTGCCTCTGGGTTAGCCCTTGATGAGTCTTGGCTTTGGCATCCAGACTTTGAGATTGCAGCAAAGCAAGTGCCTTCACTTGTTTCAATGTCTTGTTTACTGCTTTCTTACATTGCTTTGAATTTTAAGAACATAAGCCTTATCCATTCTCACGTTTCAGATACGTGATGAGCCCCCCCATTAGGAAAAGAGGACATGATAAGGCTCTTCAAAGCTGCTCTTTCAACAGGAATTTTGCAGGTTTCACATAATGATTCAGGCTTAGGTTCAATAACCATTTAAAGATAATTAGGACAGTATTGGCCAACAAAATGCATCCTATCATATTCATTATTCCTGATCTATGTATTATATAGCCCTGAACTCAAGTTATGTGCTCTTTTTACTACGATGCTTTTTGACCAAAGGTTACCTTTTACAAATTTGCAGCTGGTAGGAACTGATCATTGTGCCTTTAACTCCACTCAAAAAGCTCGTGGAATTGATGACTTCCGGAAAATTCCTAACGGTGTCAATGGTAATCACAACAAAGGTCCTGGATTGTTTGTGGCCTAAAACATTGATGCTCATTGAAATGGTTCTTACTAATATACATTGGCAACCAAATCTTTAAGGTATTGAAGAAAAGAATGCATTTGGTATGGGACATTCATGGGTGGTAAGTTAAGACATCAACTACACCTGGTTAGCATCCTCTTTTTATTAGGTTGGAGTAAAAATGGTGGCGAGGGTAAGCTCTTAACTTGAAACTTATGGCTTATGATCTACAGAGTCTGGCCAAATAACCCCCTCTGATTATGTCAGTATTTAAACAAGCACAGAATGGTATATTTTCAGTCAAAGTGCATATTAGCTTCCAGTTCTTGGGAAGCAGTTTGGTAAAGAGGCCAAAAGCTAAAATAATTACTGATATTTTTTCTATGATCATTTTAGCGCTCGAATCTTCAACATATATCCAAAGAAAGGAGCTATTCTGCCGGGATCTGATGCAGATATTATCATCCTCAATCCAAATTCAAGCTTTGAGATAAGTGCAAAGTCCCACCACTCTAGACTGGACACAAATGTGTACGAGGGAAGGACAGGAAAGGTACTGGTTTAACTATAAACAGGACCATATAAGGATTAAATTTAGTGAACTGAGTGCAACATCAATCCTTTTGGCAGGGAAAAATTGAAGTGACTATTGCAGGAGGAAGAGTTGTTTGGGAAAATGATGAACTAAAGGTTACTCCTGGTAGTGGGAGATACATCCAAATGCCACCCTTTAGTTATCTGTTTGATGGACTGGACAAGAAGGATGCCATTTATCTGAATTCCCTTCAAGCCCCAGTAAAGCGAGCCAAAGCCAGCAGCTAAAAAGCATCTGAATCCTTTTCTAGTCAAATTCCAACATTTTACCGCGTGAAAGAACAATGTTAATTGTTGCTAATCCTTTGGTTGTTTAATGTGGTACTTAAATCTTAAGATTTCCTAATGGATTAGTATTTAGCATTTTGTGCAAATAAGAAAAAATATGTATGTTGTAAAATGTATTTCACGCCACCTGTTTCCACTAATGTACTTAAAAAATTGCAGGATTTACTGTGTCTAATAGCTGATTGAGGGAGGGAAAATGGAGACAATGGTTATAAGCCATAGCCATCAGAATGCAACAAATGGGAAGGGGTTCTTGAAAAGTAAAACCTTTTTCACCGCACAGGTTTCTTTACAATATACATTTTTAATTGATAATTAAAATAAGGGTTAAATATGTTTTTGGTCCCTTAACTTTTAGTGAAAATTGGAATTAGTCTCTTTTTAAAACTTTGGCCTAATTTAGTCCCTAAACTTTATAAATGTGTGAATTTAGTTCTTTTAACCAAGTTTTGTTAACTTAATTTGATGTTTCAAGTGCGTTTCATGATAGCATTTGAGTTGTTTCGGTTTGACACATTTTTGCTTCAAATGTTAAACTGAGAAATGATGTTTTGAAACATCAAATAAGTTAACAAATTTTGGTTTTTTTTAAAAAGGAATTAACAATTTACAACATTTCTAAGAGTTGGGGCTATCACTCTTCTAAATTAGGTCCAAAGTTTTGAAGATGAACTAATTCCAATTTTCAGTGAAAGGTTAAAGGGACAAAAACATATTTACCCTTAAAATAATGATGTTATGTGTGTGTTTGTGTTTCAACAGTATAACACACTATAAATTCTTCACATCATTTTTTCACTAATCATTATTTTTATTTTTATTTTCTTTTATATAAATTATTTTCTATTAATCATGACACGTAAGCAATCAATAACCATTTGATTAAGGAAAATCATCCTGATAATCCAAATTAGACACTAACAAACTCAACCAACAACAATTCAATTTTAACCAAGTTCAAGAAAGGCAGAAAACATCTATGCTAAAATAGTATAAATAGGACATGTCTCACATAAAGAGTTAAATTGACTTTTAAAGCATTTATGATCATCACAAAACACTACATAGCTTGATCTTGCTGAAAAAAAAAAGGATTAAAGATAAGGAAGGGGAGATCATTGAAAGAGATTTATATTATCCAAATTTAATAAAACAATTTACTACTATATTATTATTAATTTATGTTTTTAAAAGACACCTAGTTATTCCAGTAGTTAAATTGTAAGTTATTTAAAAACACATTTTGTCGGTTTAGATTAAAATTTATTTTGTATTATGTAAATATTATATAATTATTTATCTTAAATTGTAATTTAATGTGTTTTGTAAAATGTATGATTCCACCGACCAAAGAAAAAATTAAAAATGAAACAAGTAATTTAACGGTTAAAATAATTTCAATTAAATATATTATTTAACAAATAATCAAAGATAAAAGTTAACAAATAAAAAATATATATGACAGACCATAAAAATTAAAATTATCTATTTTATAAATGTGTTTTTACAACACTTTATATGATGCATATCAATGCGGATAGAATATATATCGTATAAATTTTAAAAACCATAATAGCAAGGAGTGAGTAATCCGTGGAGAATATTAGGATTGAAAAGAAGAGGGAAATAGCAGCGCTGGAAGTGTGACTAAAAGCAGCGGTGCGTTAACACTTCGCCGCCACCTGAGATGGATCCGCCATTGTTATTAGGGTTCGAACAAGTAGCCAACGTGGTTGCAGAATCGCCGTCGTCTTCATCAAGCGCACGAAGATTAGTGCCTTGGTTAAATTGGGACGAGTGGCTCTTCGTCAAACGCGCTCTCTTCTCCAATTCTCCTCACTCTGTTTCATCAGCTCTCAAACGAGTAAGTTTCTCAATTTCCTTCTCATAAGACGGTGCAACTGTAAACCTAACCGCGTTTTCTTTTCTGCGTTTCAGATATCCACATGGCGAAGTCGAGGTTCTTTGCCGGTTTTAATCGAAGTCACTGCTTCCATAATCGAAATTCAACTCAAAGACTCCTATTTCAGGTAACCTTGACTCCTCTCCTCTTGTACCTCTTATTAACATTTTCCTTTTCAAATTAGAAAAATAATATATATGCATAATACATTAGGTATATGTTAAACTTTAAGCAACTTTGTTTGATTTAATTGTAGGCAGGATCAATTGAATGAAGCTTCTCTTTCAGAGGAGATGCTTTCTATGCTGTATTGCATGGCGATCATGAGGTTTGCTTACTCTGCCTTTCTTTTTTATGTTTCTTTTTGCCATTGATAGTCACATTTTGAAAACTTTTCCTTGTTAAGTATAATGGTGTTTTTCTTTTGAAGGCTTGTGAATTGTGCTGTTGAGAAGACGCGCAAGAAAGAAGTGGCATCGATTGCAGTGGCAGCTGATGCAATTGGTATTCCGCGCATGCTGATTGATATTCGACATGGTGAACGAGTCTCCTCCTGCCCTTGTTAATTATTGTTTTTGTCTTGCTGATAGAATGGGACATGATCTTCATACTGGTCAAATGTCAAAAAACTTCACATCATTGTTTCTTTCATTTCATTATGGGCGGCCATGCCTTTTTTCTTATTTATTGCTGTAATTGCAGAGGGATCACACCGTGAACTTCCATCACTTAAGATTGTTCGTAGTGCTTCTGTCAAGGTCTGTACAGTTCATTTCAGTTTGATTGATTATCTGTCTCTCAACAATCTATAGGCTATTTTGTAATTAAATTCTTAACACGTGGGTGTAGTCCATGGTTGGGGTTAAATTGTTGGCATTCAGAAAAGGACTGGACTGAATTTTCTTTCTCAATGTCTTTGTGTAACTGTACTATAATAGTTTTAATATATGAAAGAAAGTATTGTTGCTCTTGTAATGGTATCAAAAGACTGAGTGCATGCATGTATTCACTGAAATATATGCTATATTTGCAATGGACTAAGTTATTATTTTCTGTTTCTAATAACTGCTTGATTGCTTTCACACATTAATTTTTTCCTCCTCTGTACATTTCTTTTACATTGTTTATTGTTTAATTATATAGCATTACGATGATTCAATTCAAATGATAACCAGAACCATTTGTTATCCAAGTTATACTCTATACTCTAAACTCAGATAATGTCACAGGACCTTGGTAAAATCTACTTTTAGACTTTACATGACTGTAAGTAAGACACTAGTTAATTATTCTATCACTTTCTATGTGCCAGCTTGGCGTTGTCATGTCAGAAAGTGATATTTGAAATCTACTTTGTGGTTTGTTGTTATCACCATCTTCAGAATAATGCACACTTCTTTTTTACATTTTAAAATTGAATTTTAATATATCCATGATTGAATAGTTTTATCTTACTTCAGTGTGGACAATTTCTTCCCATATTCTTAACATGTATGTTTATCTCCAAACTCATCTAATGTTTGGTAATAATTTCAGGCACTTGATTGGTTAAAATCTTATTATTGGGAGCCTCAGAGCAAAGCAATTCCTTTTCAAGGTGAAGGAATAACAGAAGTCAAGAAAGAAATTAAGTCTAAGATTCGTGAATTAGCTATCTTCTTGAAAGTCAATGGGAGTGTCCAGTCTAGTTCTTCACAGCTAAAGGGAAAACGTCCGTAAGCAATTTTCATTTTCATCATATTTTGACTTTAGTCATTGTCTTGCACTTGTTTATTTGAAGTCAAATATCTTCAATTCTATGTGGAATGAGAGGTATTATTTAGGTTGAAACTTCTGTTTTCCTATTTTCTGTTTCATTATAGTGGATAAAACTTGTGCACGTGGGAAAGTATGTGATTTAATTTTGAAAGCCCAATACAAAAATTTGATGGTTGGAAGTCCTTTGCTCCATTATTTTGTGGATCGTGTATTCTGTGTTTAGGATGCATGATATAAACCTTTTGGATCTAGTTTATTTTTTCTTGGTAATCTAGTGTTTTTCCATCTTGGTCACTGATATTCCAATTCCTCTAGCATCAGAAATAATAAATATTGTAAGAGTAATTAAAGAAACAATAATGTCATTGTTGCTTTCTATTTCATTTTCAGAATGTGATATACTTTCCATGTAGTTTGTGATTGTATTGTACTTTTTGTTTGTATATTGTATAACCAAATTTTATCTAACCCCCTCCCCATGCGTGAAAAAGATTAAAGTGGAAACCTGTATACCAATTTAATTTTATACTCATGGCTTGTTTTATTTTTTCCCATTCACTTGCTTTAACTTGAGGTCCGTACTTAATTTAAATATAAAGAATAAATTTTTGTAGTATAATGGTAAGGGTAACACAGGTCAAGGAATTTTTATTATTGGATGTAAAGTTCATGGTGTAGTATTGTTTTTAGATTGCATACAAGATATATTTATAGATGTAGTTTACTACTAGCTGTTATAAGAACTGACAGCTGCACAAAGAAAATAAGAAGCTGTACAAGTTAACTATAGTGTTTGTACTAACAATAACAGTAACATGACATATTTTTCCTCCAGTAATATCTTTTGAAGAGCAACTCCTATGATAACTTTTTTACAAGCTCGTTGCTTTTTAAAAGCAAGTCCTCATTTTTCTATTATATTATATCAATTTAGTTCTAGCTTGTATAGATGTGTCCAACGTACGAAGTAGGGTTATTATGCTTGTCTGCGGAACCCTATAAACATCTACTTCTTGATACAGTTTCTTTTGGAAATTATGGATTTTTGCTCACATTAAAGTGAAACATTTCATTTTTTGCTTCATATGCTTACCACCTTGTGATAATATTTTATTTATTTCATGGCAAGTATTTTGTCTATAGTCAGCTGTTGTTGGGGTAGATTTTTTGTTTTAAAGCATGTACTTGCCATTTTTTTGTGTCTAGAAAATTCTGACGTCTTGTGTATTTTCTCTTTTAAAGGGGTCAAACAGGGTGAATTGCTTTTTGGGCGAAATAAACTATTGTCTCTTATGATTGGGAAGAGTAAACCTTCACGAACTGAAGGTATTATATTGTTCAAATTTCTTAATCCAATAAAACTTATTTGTTGTCTTTGTGTGTGTAAAAGGAGAATGGGTTGCAGAGGGATATAGGACAAGACATACTTTAAAATTGTGTCTGAAGACCATGTAACTAAAAAAAATGGAAAAGAAAGGATGCAACACCATTTGTTTCTACTTAACCTCTTTTACAGGATACTGTTGTTTTCTTGGTCTCTTTCTGGTGTTTAAATCACATCTTGATTTTTGAGAGTTCCTTAGTTTATTATGCTAAGAGATTGGTTTTCTGTTTTTGAGTGGGTGTTCTTTCCTTCTTTATCGTGGTTGTTCTGTTTTAGGAGGATTCCTGACCATCTCATCTTTTTTTCTTTCATAAGTAACTCAAGTGTTGGATTTCCTTGAAGCTGATCGATCAAATAGATGAGATTCTTAATATATAATATGATATATTGGGTATTCTTATCTTACTCTGATAAATAAGTGATACTGAACTAATTTGCTGTAGAGTAACTTTAGTTTTCATTATTGTTTCAGGGTATCCATGACCTAATTACTTGTGAATTGCAATGCTTTCAGGATCTAAGAAGCAGATCAAGAAGATCTTGAAATATATTCTTCAATTATATTCCTCCTTTTCTTCAGAGATTGTTTCTGTGTTGTTGGAGTATCTTTTTAAAGCTTTAAGTTCCTCAGAGTTGGAAGAGAAGGCAGACGATGTTTCTATTGGTCCAACTACAGAGAAGGTTTTGGCTGATTGGAAGCTTGTCATACTTAAACTGTGCAATAAGGAACCAGAATTACTTCTGAATCTTCTTAAGGAAGTCCTTGATATGATCGAGACTCGGGAAGGTATAAAGCACGAAGGTTGGTTGCATTTTTTCCTTGTAAAGCACCCCTTTTCATTATGTAGAGTTTCTGGTTGAAGTTTAATATCTGTTTGTTTTGGGGTACTTGGGATGTATCTTTCCTGTGTGCTTTTCTTCTTTGATGTCATGTTCAGTTACTTATTAAATGCCATATACATTCTAGGGCTTTTGCAATGTACTACTGATAGAAATGCTTTTTTTATTGGATTCCCTTAGGTATAGCTTCCGCCTTAAGTCCACAAGAAGTCAGATATTGAGTCAATTTTTTTTTGTCCATTTTTTTTTGGGTGTCTGTTCTCTTACTTAGCACTTGACTTTAGCTTGCTTAGTTTCTTCAATATTGATCTCAAATCGTGCCATTTTTTTTAAAACTTTGGTAGATAACCCAAATATGGAGATTTTACAATCAAGGACAGAGTTTCGGCTTTCTTCTTTGTTTGCATGGCTTGTTGGAATTCTCAGTAGAGTTCCTTCTGCAGCAGCAAATGTGCCAAAAGGAGTTTTCCTTGGACTTGTTCATAGATGTCTTCTAATATCACAATTAATCAACAAGCAGCTCATGGATTCAGCAGTTCAGCTCACAGAACTGATGGATGACAACTACTTGATGGAGAAAGTTAAAAGTTTCTCTCACATTAGTTTGTGGAATTTAGAGCAAGCAGATGATCAAAGCTCTTTATTAACTTCAAATAACATTTTCCAATTGGACGAATCTATACATGAAGCAGCTAAACAGCTAGAGTTATTTAAGCATCAGGTTACGAAAAATAAAACCCCAAAAGCGTTGGATTGTGACACTAAAAAATCACAGACATGGACTCTAGCAAAATCATGGAACCCATGTCCTATTGGAATGTTGCCCCGTGCTGTTGGGTCATCCGGCCGTCTTCCCGTTCTTGACATTATCAACAATGAAAAACAGAATCAAGTATCATCTGGTTGTCTTCCCGTTGTTGACATTATTGACAATGAAGAACAAGATCTAATATGGGAAAAGGAAGAGAATTGGAAATTGACCCCACAAGGTGCAAAGAGAGATGCCACAATAGACCTTCTGCAACTTGATAATTCAACTGTTAAGAAGATGAGAAAGACCGAAGAATTTGGTGAATTAAACAATGAATTACCACTGCAAGGGGGTAAAGGATATCTCATAGTAGGCGGAGTTTGGAAGAAACTTACAGACGAGCTCCTAGTCATTGATTCTTCCATTAAGATTTTAGTTTAATTTATATTTACTGCTTAGTTCTTAGCAAGATTGAATTCATGATATGTTGGTTATTTGTATCCTCATTTATTTGTTTTATTTTAAAAGGTATGCCTGAAATATGCAATTTCATGAACATAAGAGAATCATCATGTAGCTTAATTACCTGAACAACATTCATGCATACAATAGGAATTTCGGTCTACATGCTTTTTCCCTTTGCTCCGTTTTCAATATTTGCTAAGTGCATCTTCAATCGGTTGCAGTTGGACGCCAATGCTGTATCCTGGTAGAGAAAAGTTCAGCAGGGGCGACCTGAGAACACATGAGCCAAATATTCTGAATATGTTTCATGTGTTCTCAAGACGACCCTGCAGAACCTCTCTACCTCGATATATTTTTGCGAATATTTGCGAAACATCTTTACCTTAAACTCAATGTAATGGGTTTATCCAATTTCATTGAATGAAATATATAGCCGTAAGTTATCCTGGTACTGCTAGGTTTGAATGTACTACACCGAAGTACTTCTCACAAAAAAGATTAAGGGCTTGTGTTAGAGTACAATGTTGTACTACTCGTTTTCACACACATAGCTCAAACGCGTTGTAGTACTACAACTTCCCTTTCCCCACACGTCAATACCAAAGACTATTATAAGTTGTTTTTTACATTACAGAGGTTTGATAACCGATATTGAACTCAATGTGTAGATTTTAATTTCTGATTTGCCCACAATGTCGTGAATTTGGACGTGATTAGATGCACATGAATGTAATTTTACCTTTCATAAAGTTAGGGTTTGTATTAATGGGAACCCACAAGTTTATCATATATTATATTATACAGATATTCTAAACGTAGATAGAACATCAAATAGAAAAATATTTAAAATTATAAACGATATATAGAAAGTGCATTCAGGTATAATTAAAGAGCTATACTAGAGGAAAACATGCGTCGTCTTTTAATAGATAATTGATTAAAATTAGGTCATTTTTAAGATAATGTTATCTATTTTAATGTAAAAGAGTGCATCAATTAATCTGAGAACAATAGTTAAAAATTGCGAAATGGAAAACAAATTTGATGTCAAAAAGAGACAAATATAATTATTTAAGTGGATATGTACATGTGATTTAAACGGAAAAAACAAGATGAAAATAAAATGTCGAAAATAAAAAATAATTTAATTTTTTTAAAATTATATAAAGAAAGGCGGTAAAATATATCTAAGTATTTTTAATGAGTCGTTACATGAATCCTTACCAATTAAAAATAATATTTTAATGCAAAACTTAAGATTTTCTTAAAATTGAAAGAAAGAAAAAAAACTCTCTTCAACTTAAGCAAATTTATGTTTGCGGAATTCAATCAAAATATTATTTGAAAAAATTAAAATATTTATGAAAAATATTCTTCAACACCTCAACTTTTTATCATTTCGCACTAAACTTATTTATTTTTTTCTCTTTTCTTTTTTTAAAAAAATTANTCACAATTAATCAACAAGCAGCTCATGGATTCAGCAGTTCAGCTCACAGAACTGATGGATGACAACTACTTGATGGAGAAAGTTAAAAGTTTCTCTCACATTAGTTTGTGGAATTTAGAGCAAGCAGATGATCAAAGCTCTTTATTAACTTCAAATAACATTTTCCAATTGGACGAATCTATACATGAAGCAGCTAAACAGCTAGAGTTATTTAAGCATCAGGTTACGAAAAATAAAACCCCAAAAGCGTTGGATTGTGACACTAAAAAATCACAGACATGGACTCTAGCAAAATCATGGAACCCATGTCCAATTGGAATGTTGCCCCGTGCTGTTGGGTCATCCGGCCGTCTTCCCGTTCTTAACATTATCAACAATGAAAAACAGAATCAAGTATCATATGGTTGTCTTCCCGTTGTTGACATTATTGACAATGAAGAACAAGATCTAATATGGGAAAAGGAAGAGAATTGGAAATTGACCCCACAAGGTGCAAAGAGAGATGCCACAATAGACCTTCTGCAACTTGATAATTCAACTGTTAAGAAGATGAGAAAGACCGAAGAATTTGGTGAATTAAACAATGAATTACCACTGCAAGGGGGAAAAGGATATCTCATAGTAGGCGGAGTTTGGAAGAAACTTACAGACGAGCTCCTAGTCATTGATTCTTCCATTAAGATTTTAGTTTAATTTATATTTACTGCTTAGTTCTTAGCAAGATTGAATTCATGATATGTTGGTTATTTGTATCCTCATTTATTTGTTTTATTTTAAAAGGTATGCCTGAAATATGCAATTTCATGAACATAAGAGAATCATCATGTAGCTTAATTACCTGAACAACATTCATGCATACAATAGGAATTTCGGTCTACATGCTTTTTCCCTTTGCTCCGTTTTCAATATTTGCTAAGTGCATCTTCAATCGGTTGCAGTTGGACGCCAATGCTGTATCCTGGTAGAGAAAAGTTCAGCAGGGGCGACCTGAGAACACATGAGCCAAATATTCTGAATATGTTTCATGTGTTCTCAAGACGACCCTGAAGAACCTCTCTACCTCGATATATTTTTGCGAATATTTGCGAAAAATCTTTACCTTAAACTCAATGTAATGGGTTTATCCAATTTCATTGAATGAAATATATAGCCGTAAGTTATCCTGGTACTGCTAGGTTTGAATGTACTACACCGAAGTACTTCTCACAAAAAAGATTAAGGGCTTGTGTTAGAGTACAATGTTGTACTACTCGTTTTCACACACATAGCTCAAACGCGTTGTAGTACTACAACTTCCCTTTCCCCACACGTCAATACCAAAGACTATTATAAGTTGTTTTTTACATTACAGAGGTTTGATAACCGATATTGAACTCAATGTGTAGATTTTAATTTCTGATTTGCCCACAATGTCGTGAATTTGGACGTGATTAGATGCACATGAATGTAATTTTACATTTCATAAAGTTAGGGTTTGTATTAATGGGAACACACAAGTTTATCATATATTATATTATACAGATATTCTAAAAGTAGATAGAACATCAAATAGAAAAATATTTAAAATTATAAACGATATATAGAAAGTGCATTCAGGTATAATTAAAGAGCTATACTAGAGGAAAACATGCGTCGTCTTTTAATAGATAATTGATTAAAATTAGGTCATTTTTAAGATAATGTTATCTATTTTAATGTAAAAGAGTGCATCAATTAATCTGAGAACAATAGTTAAAAATTGCGAAATGGAAAACAAATTTGATGTCAAAAAGAGACAAATATAATTATTTAAGTGGATATGTACATGTGATTT